AGCTCTTGCATACAATCGTAATTTGGATGCCTTGTATTCATTATTATTATCACCCAGTTTTATTATCTTTAATCAAACAATAAACATTTTAATTGTGGTAATCACTGTGGGTCAGTCATGTAAACATTGCGCTGGAAATGTTTACTTAGTAATAACTTATTAAGTGCTTACATTCGCCAAGGCAATTTGATTTTGTATTTTGAGCAATGGGTATAAGTAGTGGCAGGTTGAAAAGTTTTGGAGAATGTTTGGTTTTTTCCATACCCTCCATTTCTCCTCATGCATAAAAAAGTTCTACTTACGTGTCATATCCGCTGGAGGGGTTGGTTACAGTCTTTCCAAAAACGTTTGTCAATGCCTACACGCAAGAGGAATATACAAATTAAAGGCCGTCCACTAAAACGTTTGGCACGCACAGACCGAGATGAACCTGCATGTAAACAATACAACTATTAATATTATAATGTATTTGAATAATAAACAAAATTTTCATATCTTTAACATTTATCCTTATCGGACTACTTAAAGTTCAAGAAGTGGCTATAGGTTATATTTAACGTTTTCTTTTTGTTTATATTTATCGGCAAGCTGTTTTTGATTTTTGCTCAGAAAAACTTTCAGCAGATCAGCCAAAATTCATGGCGCAGTACCGAGGAGGAGGAGGAGGTAAAGAAAAGGAGAGAATCTGAGATATGGAAGAAGAACGGCAAAGTACCAAAGTGCGTGACAGTGGAGAAATGCAAAAACAACTAGCAATGATGATGGATACCTATGCTGATCAAAAACAGTAGGAAACTCAGCTAAATATTGAAAACAATCTAAAACCTAATCGAACGAAAACCCAGTAAAGCATAGAAAAGAAGATTGGGAGAGCGAATGGAAGAAAACCGACAAGAAATCGAGTGCCAGGTTAAGAGGATCCTGCTAGATTGAAAACTAGTATTGAAAGTAGACGAGATCAAAGGAAGCTAAAATTTCGAAACCAACCCCCAAGCAGCTAAATCGATTGAGCTATGGAGTTTTTTGAGGGCAATTCAAGTCGAGGACAGATTCATATCAGCGTAGATGGGTCGATTTAATTCGTGACAAATTAATCATTCTCTCGACATCAACATCAACCGTTTTATTGACAAAGACAGTGATTTTTTATAAGCAAACGTCAAGTGACATTTCCATGGCAGTCATGGAATTACGAACACACAACCCACTTAATTAGACATGTTTTCGAGTATAACATCAATAAGATTTCATTGTATTTCCCTTATTTTTAAATTATATTGCAGGTATAATAAAAAATATTATAAGAAACACGTGTATAATTCGTGTTTAAAGCACTTGCAACGTTTAAAGGCACTCCGTTTCGCGTCGTGCCATTAAACTCGTTGCGCGTGCTTTAAAGACTTGTCTCTTAATATAGGTACTATTCTTCAAATTCATATTTATTTTGAATGGAGTTGAAAGCGATAACTCTTACTGTTACAGAAAGCTGTTCAATGTGACTTGTACCTGGGGTACAATCAGCGAATATGGAATTTTTTTGCAATTTTTGTTATTTCGATAAGTTTACTTCAATATACTGAGAGGTTCCACCCTGTATATACAACTTACGACGATACATACATTTTGAGAGTTGGTAACCATGCAATTTCTAGGTGGGGAAAAGCTGCCTGCGCCACTTAAAAAGCACGAACGGGGGTTACGTTTGGCATCTTGCCTTGAATGGCGGTCGTGAACGCATCGCTCCATAAATGTTTGTTGTTATTTTGTGTTATTTAACACAGGTAGTAATTTTTGCATTTCTTTATACTGTATTTGTGTTTTGTATGCCGCATTTTATATTTTTTGTGTGTTTCAACCTTTGTTTTTGAAATTTACTTAGTTTAACCGTAATGCAGAATCACATGTGTGATATCGTTATGCTATTGTTTGTAATTGTTTACGTTTTTGGTGTAATGTTTGCTTAATTTATGTTTATTGATGTTGATTACTTGGTCTTGTCCCTGAAGTACATTCATGTAAGATTTGATAATTTTATTTTAATATGTGGAAATTACCGATTCGTTTGATGTATGTACTGACTTGTTGTTTCTCCGTTTCTCCGTGAATGAAGCAGTCACGGGGGTGGTAAAAAAAACTGTAGTCAAAATTGAAGTACCTACGACACCTAATTCCGTGATTGTCTTCGACATCCCAATGTAGGCTCGAAACCCCGAAACCAGGGGCGGGTCACCCATCTTGCAGGAGCGTGATTACGCTAATCAAAGCTCTTCAGTTTAGAATCTATGTGCGATAAATGAGTGGCGATTCAATAATTTCTACATATATTGTTTTTAGTTAAATTTGCCTACAAGGCCATGTAATTTTCCATCTTGCTTTTAACAAAAGGACTTTATTGCACCAAAGATGAGTCACATCCTGTACTCTTAACCCTTTCTCAGAATTTAGGCACCTGCTACTACCTGACCCATTGTTCCCAAAAACTTGCTTTTAACCTTGAGTGTAACCAACATTGTATATATGCATTTACTATCTTTGTTAACTACTGCTTAAACTTTTACAAAATATTTTGTTAATTAACTTTTGGATTGTATTAATCAAACTCCGAGGTTTTTCTTACGTCGTACTCTTTTTACCCTTAGCAGTTACTTTTGCGAGAGTACGACACCTTTTGGCTTTGCTTGCTTTGATTATATTAATGTACATCAACTCAATTTCCGGGCTTTCACAATCTTAATAATTACGATCATTATTAAACAAACGTTTCACAATTTCAGTGTTTTATTTAACGTTCCTTCCCTACTGTGCTTCAGGTCAAAGCATTGTCTACAACTAACGTAAGGGGGTTCTGCCTTAGATGTTTGATCACGTACCACTTTTCAAATTTAAGCGGGATCTTGTTTAGTTTTGGAGGGAATAGTCATTCAGGTGACCATTTTTAAACGTTGCCGGGTTGACTTTATTTCCGTTCTTGTAGTGTGAAGTTGGCGTAGAACCTGGGGGTTAAGTACACTACAATACATTTCCCATCAAATTGATCAGTTCATCTTGTACATTATTGTTTAGATAAGTTACGGACCATTTATCAGACTTGTGTTGAACTCTCCTGATGTGTTCTTCCATAACTGGATAATTACTTATTCAATGGTCAAACTCAGAATCAGAAACCAATTCTATCAGTTCTAGGAAATTTTTGTTATTGGGAGTGAAATAAAGCATTTAGAAAATAGAAATAGAAAAAGGTATGCTTCTATTTAAAAAAACAAGATGGCGCCAACTTCCGGTGTTTTGTGTGAAATTATTTTTCTTCAAGTCGCAATGGTCTGTACCCAAATTTCAAGCTTCCATTTCAACTGCACTTTTAATAACTTCCAACGGCTACTTGACTCTCCCTGTATAGAAATCGCGACCCCGGACCTTTCTAAATTCAAAATAGTCCAATGGTTAAAAAAAATCACCGCTTTTGCCGCTCTTCTAAGGTGTCGCCTGATGCAGCTGCCTTTCTGCATCATTTATTTGTTTGTTAGTTAGTTAGTTAGTTAGTTAGTTAGTTAGTTAGTTTGTTTGTTTGTTTGTTTGTTTGTTTGTTTGTTGGTTCGTTCGTTCGTTCGTTCGTTCGTTCGTTCGCTCGTTCGTTCGTTCGTTCGTTCGTTCGTTCGTTCGTTCGTTCGTTCGTTCGTTCGTTCGTTTGTTTGTTTGTCTGTTTATTTATTTATTTATTTATCGTTCCTCTTGTTCTGCGTCCTCAACAGGCAGAAGGTCTTAGTTGTTCTATAGCACTCCAGTATTTATCTTACGAATTAGGAAAACTGCAGGAAAACCTATATTTTGAAGTAGCCGGCTGGCCGACAGAGTGCTCGAAACTGATATAAAGAAATTTCCATCTCTGCCACAGATGAAAAATTGACCTCAGCCCAGGTTCGAACACACGACCTCTCGGTTATGTAGCCCAACACTCTACCACCGAGCCACATAGTCGGTGTATATCATAGTACCGCACGGCCCTGGTTGTTCTATCCATAAATTTGTGCCACTGTTACTAACGGCACAGATTTTAACAGAACAGAAAAGGCGGGACAATTCCAACAATTCCGGATGTTGTGAGAAGTTCATAGTTTTTGCGATGGATGCTACCCCCCTTAGAAATTTTAAATTTCTCCAAAACGAAAGGGACACAGAATATACACAAAACTATCGTGTTTGTGTCATGTCGATACGAGTATGACGGTGTGTAGCATTAAGGTGAATCCCCAAATGAACATTCTGACTTTCTCTGAAACGGAACGCGCACAAAACTCGAGCATTGACGCACAAATCAGTACAAAATAGGCACAAAGCTATGATATAGGTTTCAAATCACTCCGATTGTGAGGAATGTTGCGTTAAGTTGGCACCCCCTTAGCAAATTTTGAATTACACCGAAAGGAATGGCGCTCAAAACCTGAGTATTGGCGAACAAATCTGAAATCAGCACAAAACTGTGGTAAATGAGTGTTATGTGGATACGAGATTGATGTTGTTACAATTTTGGGGATGTACCTAACAAATTGGGGTGCCGATTTATAGGTGCTACCTTAATCCCCCTACAGAGGTAAGGGGTGACGAAAGGCCTGGGCGAGTTCTACCGTAAAAGTGTCGGCATCGAAATGAAATTTGGCGGGTAAGTACTTTTGAAAAATTTATTTTGAACTATCCGACAATACAAATAATATAGTGTCACTCAACCCACCAAGTTCTTCAAATTTACTAGAGAGCTACGTGCAACACTTGCATAGGCCACCTCTTGTGCTTTTAATAACTCATTGGGAAAATAGCGTCAATTTCCTTCGTTCTAGAACTTTTCATCGAAATGATTGTTATTTTTAACTAAAGGAAAGGTGCAGGCAGCAACGTGATGTATGATAACGTTCTAAATGAATTTCAAGTGTTTTAAATTCGATGGGATATGTATCCGATCCTTTTAGTTTGACTTGAAAAATGAGGCATTTTGGTGTAATCGTAATTGTATCCGTGCTAATCGTGTGCTTATTTCTAATTATGTACCTTAAAAAATACAATTTTGTCAATAACACGTCGATAGAGTTGAAATTTATCAATTCGAAGGAAATTTTAAATGAGTCGCGCCTCCCTATAAAAGCGTCACGGGGCGAAGAACGAAAGGTTAACAAAAAGAGAATACACATACCGAAGATTATGCTAGAGCTCTACGAGGAAAGGAACAGGAATGAGTATGGACTAAATTTTTCTAAACCGGACATTGTGCGAAGCGTCATCCCCAAAAATGCAGGTACTTTGAAAAACAAAATTTTGCAAAGCGTCGAAGAAAACCACGTACTGATCTTCGACGTGCCTCCTCTACATCGCGACGAGGAATTCTTGGGCGCAGAGCTGCGTGTCTTCACTTTGCTGAACAACACTGCCAGTAGAGCACAAGGTGAGGGTAACTCACGTAGGCAACCTTAACGAGCTTCTTTAAGGGGTGGAACGATTTTTGAAGGTGTTAGTCTACAACGAATCCTCCGAGGACATGGATTTACTAACCGAATGTCATATCTTCAAAACCGAAAGTAACTGGATCAACTTTAACGTGACCAATCCGGTGAGAGGACTGTTAAAGCGCAACACGAAGACCATCTCACTCAAACTGGTTATATCGGTTAAAACGTTCCTTCCATTTTACGACAACAACGCGCACGAATTCAAATTGTCCTTGCTGCCGGTATCTGAAGATTTCGACCACGATTATCCGATTTTGTTGCTGTCGTATATGAGCTTGAAAACGACACCGGTTCACAGACGGAAAAGAGGAATAGACGAAGATTACGAAGAAGAAACGAATCGAATTTGGGATAACGATAAGGAACAGAAGGCGAACGCGAAGAAATTGAAACGTTTGAAGAATACGTGCAAACGCAAGCCATTGTACGTCAACTTTTCGGAAATAGAATACGACACTTGGATTGTCCAACCCAGCGGGTACGAAGTGAGTAGTTGTAGCAAATAGGCAAAGAAAACAGTTGGTAGTCTGATTTTTAGGCTTATCAGTGTACGGGCAAGTGTTTCTACCCGGTTGCGGAGCATCTTTCTCCAACCAAGCACGCAATCGTTCAAGCTTTACTTCACAGCGTTTTTCCATCACGCGCTCCTCGATCTTGTTGCGTACCGACCAGACTGGAATCCATTTCACTGCTGTATGTTGACGATCGCGGTGTCTTGACGTACCGTTTTGGATACGATGATATGGTCGTAGCTGAATGCGGATGTCGCTAAATCTATGTTATAGCTCTATATGTCTTGGTTTTAACTCAAGATTTTGTAATGCGTGTATTGTTTTTTTTTACTTATCTCCTGCCCCCCCCCCCGGCATTTCTTTGCTCATTACAGATTTTAAGGGTAGGTTCAAATATACAACGTGTACCATGACCGCATGTAAAAACAAGTATAAATTGTGCACAACTCTTGTGCAGATAAAGCGCATTTTTTTAAACCGAAATAGCTTTTGTTTTGACATCACCAATGGATATATTTCTTGCAGACGCCTCAATCGCCCTTTCTGAGTACCCTCTTCCGATAATCCGTTCTTGAGATATAAGGGAATATACCTGTTTAATCTCGGTATGAGATCAAGTAGTTTTGGGGTAGACTGTAAGGAGGCACCCGTCATTGTGCTAAATTGTAGACTCGGAACCTTACACCCCAAATGAGTAGAAATAGCCTAAGCTATAATACTGGTTTATTCCTAATATTTACACGTTTATATACAAAGTTATTGTCCTAGTTCTACCATTTGTTTACTTACATCAGCGATACTATTACTCTGTTTGCATTTTCATGCCTTACTCAATTGACCTGCTTTATATGTATATGCATAATAATGATGTCTTAATTCCTACTTACACGTTAATTACTTAATTAATATTGATTAATCCCAGATTAATCTGTGATTGAAAAATACCCGATGACGATAAGAGGTCGAGGAGGAGGGCTATTGTTGATAGAAATTAATTCCTTTCGTTGAGATCTTTCATTAGAGAACCATGAAGGATAAAACAAGTTCCACTCCCTCCCCTCCCCCTCTAGCCCGTACTTTGATCAGAGGAGAGAAAGAAGGGCAGTAGTTGGTAGAAAACGGTTTCTTTCGTCGAGACCTTTCATTAGAGTACCATGAAGGATAAAACAAGTTCCACTCCCCCTCCTTCCCCCACCCCCACCCCGTACTTTGATAAAAGGACAGAAAGATACTGATCTCGAAAAAGAGTCGCACGGGAAAGTTATAGTTTGTTCAAACCAATTTATTTCGATGAGACCTTTCATTAGAATACCATGAAGGGTAGAACATGTGTTTACCCCCCCCCCCCCCCCCGCTCCTATGTTCTAAAGTTTAACTTGGCACCATTAAAGGCGCACCAAAAATGCGCTAAAAAAATAACGATTTAAGTCGATATTACATTCTTTCACTAACTCACTTTCTCGTTCACTCCTTTCTTCAATTCTTACTGCCCTGTGTGCCAACGCTATCTTTATTTTCTTAATTTTTGTTTCCTCCTCTAATATGTCATTTAGTGTCCTTCCCTTTAGATCCAGTGCCCAGTAGTAATACCCTCTTTGTATTCCTTTTAGTTTATCCCATTCCGCCCACCCCCATATCTCCGTTCCATACATCGGCACCCTCTCACAATTGCATCAAAAAGGTATCCTTTTATTTTAAATTCGTTTTTGAATCTCCCCTTCGCCACTTCCTCCTTTTTTTTAGTTTTCTTATTTGACTGTTTGCTCCACTATTTCATTGCATTTGGTACCTTACGTATATAATCATTACTCTTTGCTCTCTCGACTTCCACTCTACCTCCCTTCCCTTTCCTCTCCCTTTCCAAATCTCATCATCTTCAATTGTTGACATTTAATTCCATTCCATTTTTGCCCAGTATCTTCCCCATCTTCCCTTCATTTCATTTAACTGTTTATTTTTGTAAGTAGGTATTGGTTATTTTTGGTTTACGGTCACTGTAATTAATTGTTTGACATTCGCTGGCATACCTAAATAAATTTTGGCTGGGTGGATTTTTCCACACAAGCCTCAAGACGCATTCGTTTTGCATTTCCAATTTTTCCGCATTCTACTACAAGCACGCCTTAGTTCGACACGTAAGCGGCGGCGTAAGGAACAAACCATGTGGTTCTAATTGCAATTACCAATTACAATTATTTGTGGAGATTGAACTTATTTTGTGTGGATCTCGATCTAGTTGCATTTCTTTCCGAGTCTATATTTTGGTTTTCATTGATTTTGTGAGTACGGCGATTTTGTGTAATCTACAAATAGAAAGTGCATGAAAAATAGAGACCAGTTATTTTTGTCGGCCTTAGCTTAATATAAAAAACTTGCTATGGTCAGCACAGATACCACCCACACACCTACGCATACGCAATTCGGCCCAAAAGCTTTTCAGCTCTTCCTTTTATGTCTAAGAATATACATATGTATCAATTTGGTTCGTCAGACAGACACAATCGAGATTTCCTTTGACTCGGATTCCTGCGGGTGGTTATAAAAAGTATGTTGGTAAGTCAATCAAAACCTGCCAATCACATCGAATTCGAAAACGCCTTTTCTAAAACATTGGGCTTGCAAACAAATGTAAAACCTAATCTAAAGACACATTTAGGCGAGGTTCATACTAGAGCGACATACAATAAGCCATATATCGCAGGCGATACGTGATACACATGAATAGATTCTTAAAATTCAAAGGGAAACGATAAATAAGGTGCGCAGTCGCTCTATATCGCCCGCAACTTATCGCCTACGATAAAACGTCCAGTGTGAACGTCGCCTAAGCGCGTTCTTACTGAGGCGATATCATTGAATTGCTATATGCGATTATAATATATCGTTGGCGATACGCATGAAGATATTCTTGAAATTCAAAATGAGGCCATAAATAAGGTGACGTCGCGCGATTGCGCAATAACCATGTATGTGAAATACAATGGAATGCATACTGCATGCAATGATTTGACCTTGCACATTCTTACCGCAAGTTCTTGCGCGTTGTATTGCTCCATGTGAGGAGGCCTTAACGTAATTTGCGCTGGTATTTAAACAGCCCATAAATATAATTTAGGAGCATTATGTACACAGTCTGAATTATAGGCGTTTATTTAGACACCGTCGTTTGCCAGCTTTCCCGCGCAAAGTACTGTCACTGAACATAAATATAACCTCAAATAGTTTGCTCAAAAACAATCCCAATTTCATAGTGTTTTATTTAAATATACAGCATTCACAATGGATGAATATCCGAATCCCGATGAAGAATTTGAGTTAATGTACGGGGACGAATTTGAGGAAATTCGAAATGAAGATTGTAAGAACTATGGGTTGTTGAATCAATCGTTAAATCCGTTACCTTTCAGATCCTGATGAAATAATCAGACCACAAATACAGAAAAGTCAAAACGTACAACAAACTCCTGTAGTTACAATTGATAACTCCACTATCGACAATTCCGGTGACATAATTCTGGCCCAATCACAACTGGAATGCGTGAACGAGCCAATACTTCAAGTTATTTTAAATGCTGATAGTACGCGACCAAGAAAACGTACAGTGGAAGAATTATTTGGGGACATCGATGATATTCTGTATGAGGACAATGTTACGTACAAAAAGAAGCAGAAGAACGATTTTGATGACGAGTCCGTCGTAATTGAACATATTCTGGAGCTACGCCGATTAGCAAAGGAACGTAATCATCCAGTGATGAGATATAAAAATGATCGTGACGAAAAAGACCACTTTAAATATAACATTTCAAGTTCCGTTCCTAAGTACTCATTCACTACTATCACCAAATGTGGTGGGGAAAGAATGTATGTGCGCTGCCATTCGGAACAATTCATGAAGGAGGAGTTACAGAATTTGGCACAGAACTCTCACTTTGTCGGCTGCATGGGGGACACATTTAAGGAAGTGTGGAAGGAAGCGGAGACGTTGGTAAGCTTATTGAATTTGAGTTTTACGTTAACACACGTCCTTCTAGGTTAATAGGCAAATGGATGCAGCTTGCGACGAAATGGAAATTGACGGATCTAACTTATCGTGCCAAAGGGAGAGCGGCGCAAAGTTGTGGGTAGACTTGTACAAGCCACAAAGATACCTCGAGTTACTTAGTGACGAAACTACAAACCGGACATTGTTAAAGTGGTTTAAATTGTGGGATAAAGTTGTGTTTAATAGACTACCGAAGATGAAGATTAAGAAAGATGTGCCGAAAAGTTTTGGTCAGCAGGAATTTAGCATGGGTTTGGACGAACATGGACGTCCTGAGTACAAAGTTGTGTTGTTATGTGGGCCTCCTGGATTAGGTAAAGATTATATTATAAGGGTGCAAGATATTATGTGGATGGCTTTAGCTAGCAGGAATAGTTTTGAACATTTCTCTTGGGAAAAACCACTTTACGCCATCTTCACGTTGAATTGAGATATAATGTAATAAAAGATGCATAGAAAACTTTGTAAGGGATAGTTACTAGTAGTTCAAGGGTCTAGCGATAGAGGGCGGTTACTCCATTCCTTGTGTGAATTCATCAAATTATAATCAAATGTTTTTGGTTTTTATCTTACTTCTTAGCTTTTGGAGATATTGTTAAGGCTGATGAGATTTCTTAAAAAGGTAAGTAGGTACAGGAGTAGGTATCCATAGTAAAGGGCAAACATTATTGTTTTTGGCGGTAAATAATGAAATAAATTTTAAGCAAAGAAACCAGTTATATTTGGGGACTATTTGTTTTCCTGTTTTTCACGGTTGACACTGTTGCCAAATTTTTCTATTTCTGATATTCTTTGTTATTTTCTTATCAATTTGATTAGAATGCACACATTTTTATTTCATGTATTGTTCCTTATGATCTTACACATCGGGTTGATTACTCTCTTTACATAATATATTAATATTGTTATTAGCATATACAATCTTATTAGCTTATTCAAAGGGAAAGCGCTTCACACAAATTATCTGGCAACGTTGGAATTTTTAAGAGGTAAAGAAGCCTACATAACCGGTAACTAATTTTAAATTTGCGGTTCACTGTCACCCACAACAGAGGAATGACAGAATCCTTTTCTGATTTGATACTTCTGTAAAGTGCTTATTCAGTGGTGAAAGTACCATAGTGATGAGGGGTGTATTATCACTCTTAAATATATGTATGCAGCAATGGCAGTCTGTGAGATACCATGCAATGTGTTCCTGGGGGGGCATCTTGCCGAAAACTGTAAGAGAACCAGAAAGACAGACGGTGTTGGGGGTAATACGTTATCGGCCGAAAGTGTTACGTTAATTGAAACCAACCTTGAAACTTCCATGGAATGCCCGTGGCGAGGTCCGTGGTCGCCTGCACTACATTCTTGTACACTAAAGCAGGAAATCCTTTGTCAGGGGTGGATGGGGGAACCATACACTGGTCCATGAAATATACATACCTATTGGCCCACTTAGCGAATGGGGGAGGGGGTACTCAATGCGCCCTAACTTTAAAATATTAATGCTTTTTCCTCGGATTTTTCTAGCACTGATTGTTGATAATTATTTCGCAACAAAAATGCTTCTATTGTTGCACAATCTGTTCCTTAATCGATTTTTTATACTAGTCAGAATTGCGAAAGAATAAGTTAACAGGTATTGATAGGCATTAGCGAGTGCCGAATATTGGAACGTAAATTTAAGTACGTAATTTATTTATTCACAATTAATTAATTTATCAATCAATTAATTTATGTCTTAAAATGGATTAATTTATAACAGTAACTATAAGCGCGAATTATTCATTACGTCGGCGTTGAAATTGGAACTGATCGAAACGCAATTCTATTTGCTTATATAGCAAACGCAAGCTCCCGAGTGTTCTAGAATGTTCTCGAGCAAACATGTTGTATTTCCCGGAAAGATTGCGTCACATCTGTCTTCGCTCTTTATCGCCGATTCTTCTTTCTCATTTTTTATTTTATTTATTTATTATTAACAACTTTAGGGACGGAGCTACATGATGCGGTCGGCGACATCTGGGCGCCATCCCGAAGCGTGTTGTACTAACGTGGTGATTTTTCTTATCTTCTTCTACAGGTTTGGTCCGATTGTTTTGTAAGGCCCGCGCCTTCGAGGGATAGTCGACTTTGGACACCCAACATAGAAGCTGGAGTTATGAGAAGTGCCCCTAAAATTGAGTACGATTTTGTGGAGGGATTTTAGCAAAATCCACGAAAATACGAACGGGACGTCAGAGGTGGGTACCGACAAAGGGAAAGTGGTAGCCTTCAACAAGATCTTATTGATGAACACGAATGAATAATTTTTTATTTGCACCGTGACCTTAAAATATTAATTAAATTAATTCTTTGCAAGTGGCGGCGTAGCCTGGCTCTGTTTTGTGTTTTCATTTGAGTGATGCTGCCAGTTGCAAAGCGCTCATGGATCCTACCGGCCCACTGGGAAAGTTCCCGGTATCCCGCCGGCCCCATCCACCCCTGGCCTTTGTTCTACCAAAGGGAACTCCGCGAAAAGCATTCAGACCTTCAAACACCAAATCAACCGTGACGAGGGATGGTCGTTTTCCCCATTTTGGAAATCTGTTATCCCATTGGCTGATGTGTTCCCCAATTTCTCCTGTCGGAATAGGTTTAACCATTTCCTTCTCAGTGTTGGCTCATTGCTAAGAGTTTTATATATTTCTTATTTTGATTGTTATTTTTAGCGCATTTCCACAAAAATAAAAACAAATGCGCTATTGTGGCCACTTTGTTCGTCCGTCCGTCCATCCGCTCGTTCGTTGATACGCTACTAATTCTTTATCTTAAGAGCGATTGTTCTACTTTTTTCGCTATTTGGTTCGTTATGGTGTCGAGGCTTGCACCAAGAAAGGAATTTTTTCTGCGTTTATTTCTAAAAAAGTTATTGTAAAAAAACGAAATAACCGTTTTTTACATGTTCCATAATTTTACACTCGTTTATTAACGATCCTAGAGATCGTTTATAATTTTGTATTGCTGTCTGTCGGTTGCTCTGTCCGTCTGTTCCTTTGTCTGTCTGTCCCTCTATCTACTTTGTTTAGATGTCCGATCTCTTCGACTTCTCCGTTAGTTAGGAACTGAATTGCATGAAATTCAATATGGGCATAGCTTTAGCCATATAATAATTCACAGTGTCCTTTTCATCTCGACCATTTATAAACCGAATTGCAAACTTTTTTATTTATAAAAGTATTTGAATGAATAAATGAAAATCTAACGCCAGTTTCAAAATTTGGTTTTGCGCATGCGCAGTGCCAACTTTTTCAGTTATGGAAGCATTTAAAAGAAATTTGATACATAGGCGCTTGGAACAAAGGAAAATCAATCGTTAGTTTCAAAATTTAGATTTGCGATTTCTTATTTAGAAAAGCATTGAAATGAAATTCTTCTTATAAACTGAAATTGAAGTAGCACGTCAAAAATGGATTGCACATGTGTAACGCTATCTTTCATATTTGTGGCCGGATTTTTACGATTTTAACCGAAGTTGCATCTTACAAGTGGGAAATGATTGCAAGTGGAAATGCGCTTTTTGTAAATCGTTTACGATTACTTTTTAACTTTTTTGTCCTGATGACGTAAGTAGGCGAAACGTTAACCTTTCGTGAAACAATACACGGTCCTATCACGAAAGTCTCGCGCATCTTAAAGGCTCGAATCGATTCTAATTCCGCTTTTGCAGTGTAACTTGTTGTAAAGTAATTGTCTTTGTTTTTCTTTATCCGAACTGTTTGACTGGGATATTTTAACGATGCGCTATTTGAACTTTACTCACTAACCGTTTTCTGGCCCAATCTTTATCAAGGCTTCGACGCAAATCCCGATCTTAATTACGTTCCATTAATAATTTTGACGTGAGCACTACAACGGCTCAAACCGCATTCAATTAATTTCTCTCTCTTCGAAGCTGCCAGAGAATATTGCCGGCAAGCGTCCAAAAAGTCCCTAATCAAATCAGGGGTTCTGTTGATTTCTTCGTTTCGCTAGTGCATGCGTTTACTGGTTTGCTGGAAGCACGTGTGTGTGTGTGTGGGCATTTATGTTCATTAAGGTCGGCATTAAGGGTCCTTGGTTTGAATCCGGGTTTTTGGGCGTGGATATTTGTAAATAGTGGGTTGGGTTGAGGTAGAGAAGCCTTAGTTGAAGCAAAACCAAACAATTAAAAAAATATAAAATATAAAATATAAAATATAAAATATAAAATATAAAATATAAAATATAAAATATAAAATATAAAATATAAAATATAAAATATAAAATATAAAATATAAAATATAAAATAAATAATTCAAAATTCAAAATAGAAAATTAAAATTGAAATTGAAACTGAAACTGAAATGACCTTGAAAATGTATGGGTCAATGACCTCGGATGACCTTGAGTATTTATGGGATCAATGACCTTGGTGGAAATGTAATTTGACAAGCCGACCTCGGATGACTGATCATTTATGAGGTCAATGACCTCGGATAACTTTAAAATGTAATTTGACACTCCTAACATGGGGTCAATGACCTCGGAACACAAAAAGGTGTCAATTTAAAATTTCAAAAATATAAACCTTATTTTAATGCTCCCGTTACAAAAGGGAGCTAATCCCCCCCCCCCCCTTTGCCGTTTTCTGTAATTTTAGGCCATAAAATATATGATGCAGATAATTTGTAGATTTTGCTATGGTTACAGAAATTTGCTCATAATTGTGTCCAGCATGGCTTCTCGGTTAATCTCTATCGGCTTATTTAGTTAAAACATGGCCGATATCCCAGCTTACAATAGAAAATAATAACCATGTATGACCTCACTCTCTCCATAGAATCAATGTACCTTTGAAAGCGACATCTGGTTTGAATAGCTGAGATATTAGACCGTTAGGTACAGGACATATGTCAGTTTTCTCCATGAAGTGGCATATTATGTTTTGATTGGTTGGTGTTACTTCGAATAGTCATAGTTCTCTGTTGTAGTGACTTGTGTGTGTTCGCGCATTTCACTCATTGACAGGCCCCACGTTGGGCGCCAATTATTACTTTGCTCAAATTTTATAATGCGTTGATTTCAAACGCCTCCCTTCCAAATTCAAGAATAAGTGCATGCTATGAATTTTGTAGGATAAGGATTTAAGTAAATAGCTTTATCTCTGACTTAAGCGATGAGTATTTTGTGCAGAATTTGATTTTGTTGCAGGTAAAACAACATTAGCGCACTTGGTTGCGAAACACGCGGGCTACAACGTGGTCGAGGTGAACGCGTCCGACGACCGTAACACAGAAACTTTTAAGAGGATGCTCGAAAACGCAACTCAAATGAGTTCGGTGATCGATCAAAACAAAAGACCCAACTGTTTGGTGTTCGACGAAATCGACGGTGCCCCCTCGTCATCGATCGAGTTTTTAATCAAATACGTAACGGGTACCACTAAGAAAAAGAAGAAGGGCACCGAATCGCCCCCGCTTTTGAAACGTCCCATCGTATGCATTTGCAACGACGTGTACGTGCCAGCACTGCGCTCTCTTCGTCAAATCGCGTTCGTGATCACTTTCCCGCCGACTGCCGGCGTTCGTTTGGCCGAACGTCTTTACGAAATCGCGCGTCGCGAACGGATCAAGGCGGATATCGGGGCGCTGTTGGCCTTATGCGAGAAAACGGGAAATGACATACGATCTTGCCTATCGTTACTGCATTTTCTAAAATCGTTAAACAAACCCGTAACCTTAACCTACATAAACAAGTCGAATGTCGGACAAAAAGATATGCAAAAGGGCCTGTTTGCCGTTTGGCAGGATATATTCGAGTTTCATCATTCCAACCCTAACGTCAGCAATGGCGCCAAGGAAAGTGACGTTCAGAACGTATTCAGGAACAGAATGCAAAAAATAGTGCAAGTAGTGCAGGCGTTCGGCGATCACGAGAGACTCGCGCAGGGAATATTCGAAAATTATCAGACACTACAAGTGAAAGACAATTCTTTGGATGGCATTTCTAAGGCGTTGGAATGGTTTAGTTATACTGATCTCGTTAATCGTCAAATTTACTCTTTGCAGTGCTATACTCTATCGTCATATGTGGTGTACGCATTTGTGATATGGCACTTCCTGTTTGCAACGTCTACTAGGCAGAAGTTATCGTATCCATCCGTGGGATATGAGGTATGTATTGCGGTTAGATACCTGTCACTAACTAAATTAGGGTGTTTTGTTACATGCAGATCGACTAAGGCAGTATCACGACTTAATCGGATGCTGTTTACTGCATCTCATTTATCATCTACTGTTAATTATACTCACTTCAGTAAGCGAGGTGAAATTTCAAACTTCGGTAACCCAATTGACACCTATTGTTAATTGAATGTTGGGGTCGATCGGCGGGGTCGGCGATAGCAAGCCGATAAACATGTAGACTGCACAGCGCCGACTAGTTTTTAATTAACATAAGAAAATACAACCGGCTAATAATGACTTAACTGAGCTGAAATCCTAAAATATTAATTCGCCTCGTCTTCTAAGCGACAAGAGTTCTCAGACGCAGCATAGATTATAATTGAAATATCTTGACGGGAACGGTTACAAACTGCGAATTAATTATAGCTTTTGTTTACGGTAACGGCAGCTGAAAGACAACTCTAGCCGTCTATCTTTCGGCACGATACTTTTCATAACGAAGCGCTTTTAGATACCGGCTGTTCATCTACAGAGTGATCACTGAAACTGGTAACTTCAAGGTGGGGAACGGGTGCTTATCTTTTTCGTTGTGATTTTTGTCCTGTTTTTCACTGTTTTCGCTTTTTCTGTTTTCCTTTTCACTTTTGTTGGTTGATTTTGCCTTTTTGTTGTTTTCAATTTTCTAGTTTTTCGTTATTGCTATGTCAGTTTCCGCAGTGGTCGTTAATTTTGTTTTTTCCTTTTTCCGTTTTTTATTATTTCTTTGTTTTAGTTTGTGCTACTTTATTTGCCACTCATTTCAATCATGTTTTGTGGTTTGTGACGATTTCGGTGTCTTTGCGTTCAATGTTTTAGATTTTGCCATTTTCCATTTTTTTGTTTTAGGTGTCTTAGTTTTTGCTGCTTGTATCATTTTCTTTTTCACAATTTTCGCGGTTTACGATTTCGCTGTTGTTCTGGTCGTTCTTGTGGCTTTCGTTGTCGCTGTTTTCGTCTCGCATGGTTTAGTTTTTGGCTGTTTTTGTTTTCGCTATTTCAGACTTGCTGTTGTTGAGGTGTTTGATTTCACTGTTTCCGTTTACGCAAAGAAAACGCTGTTTTCGTTTTTATTGCTTTCATTGCTTTCATTTTCACTTTTTTAGTTTTTGCTGTATTCTTTGGTTTCATTTTCAGCGGGTTCGTTTATTTCATTTTCGTTTCTCTGTTTTTGTTTTCCTTCTTGTAGTTTTCTCTGTGTTGATTTTTCTTCGTTAGCATTTCTCGTTTAGTTTTTCAGGCCTCTTCTGCTTCGTTATGTTAAATTTTTCTGTTTCATTTTATTTTTTCCCCGTTCAATTCGAGGTCGCCGTTTTCCACTTTTTCTCTGCCTTAGTCTTTTTCTGTTTTCACTGTGTTTAATGCCCTTCTGTTCGAATTCTACTCTCGCTGTTTTTAATTTTGTTGTGTTTTAGTTTTCGTTGCTTTATTTGCTCTTTTTCTCCGTTTTCGTATCTGTTGTTTTCACTTTCGTCGTTTTTACTGTTTTCGTTAGTTTCATCTTCATTGTTTCTATTTTTGTTGTCGCAGTGCTCCCTGTTTTTTCATTTCCTGTTTCTCTTTTTCTATGTCAGTTTTTATCTTTTGCGTTTGCACAAATTTTACCGATTTTCGCTTCCGCTTTTGTTTCTCCTGTTGCGAGTGTTCGGTTTCGTCCTTTTCGTTTGCATTCTTTTTCCTGTTTTCTGATGTCTTCCCCTTTCTATCGTTATTTTTGTTTTCAAAATTTTCGTTTTCCTGATATTATTTTGGTTTTGCAGTGTTAGTTTTGTTTTGTTTTAGTTCCTGGTATTTTTGTTGATTTCGTTTTCGCTGCTTATGTGTTTTCGTTATTGCGATGCCATGTTTTGCAGTTTCTACTTTTGGTCTTCGCGTTCAATGCTTTATATTTCGGCATTTTCCATTTTTTTGGTTTTTTTTTGGTTTAAGTTTCGTTGCTTGTGTTTTCACGTTCACTGTTTTCATTTGTGCGGTTTTCGTTTGTTTCGCTTTTACTGTGTCCATTAATGCCATTTCCATTGTTCTCGTTGTTTTTTTATTCTCTGGTTTTGTTTTCTCTGATTGAGTTCACTGTTTTTGATTTCGCAGTTTTCCATTTTTCTTTGTTATTGGTGTTTCAATTTTCTCCGTTTTTTGCGTTTGCCGTCTTCGTTTAGCTGTTCTCGATTTTGTTGCTTTTGAGTTTTGTTATTTCTTCTGTTTTCGATTGCATAGTTTTCATTTTCCTTGTGTTCCATTTTCATGCTTCTACACGTTCCTCTTGCATTCTTCGTCGCTGATTTCTTCTTCTATGGTGTGGTTTTTCTTTGTTTTTACTTTGACAGTTGTTTTTGATTTCGCAGAGATAGCGAATTTATATGGCTTTATTTTAGTTGTTTTTATTGTTTTCGTTTTCACTTCTTGTTCTTTTATATGTTTTCGTTTTTATTGTTTTTGCTGTTTTCGTAGGTTTCGTTTTCACCGTGTTCATTGTCTTCATTTTCGCTGTTTTTGTTCGTTATGATTTCGTTTTCTTTGATTTATTTGTTTTGTGTGTTGTTGTTCAGCGTTTTTGTTGTTTTCACTTTTTCAGTTTTCGCTTTTAATGTGTTCGCTGTTCCTTTTTTTTTTAGTTTTCTTTCATCGGTGTTGTTAATCAATCCAATAATTGATTGAGCATGTGGACATAACTCCCAGTTGTGGACCACGTTCTCTGAAATTTAGTTGAGGATGCATCCTAGTGTGCGTAGCCGCAGAGCCAACTTTCTTTAGTTTTAATTTCAATATTGCTTTTCAAATAACGCACGGTCATCATTTCTTATCTTGCTACCTTTGCTTTCTTTGTTTTCACTTTTGCTGTTATCGCTTTCGCCGTTTTCGTTTGTATTATTTTCATTCCTTTTCTATTGTCATTGTTCTGTTTTAGCTTTCGCGGTTTTCATTTTTAATATTGTAGTTGTTTTCGTTTTTTGCTGCTTACGTTTTCGCTCTTTCTTATTTTATCTGTTTTTGATTTCGCTTTTCTCTAAGGTTTTTGTATTGGGTTTTCTGTTTGATAGCCTTTTTCTGTTTTCGTTATGTCCGTTTTCGTTGTTTTTACTTTCGCGTTTTCTGCTTTTTTTAGTTTTAGTTATTGTTGTGTTTTCTTTCACCCCTTTCGTTTTCTCTTTTTCTGTTTTCGTCGAATTCATTTTAGATGTTTTTGTTTTTAATACTATCGATTTCACTGTTGTAAATGTTACTGCTTTAGATTTTGCTGTTTTCGACTTGGCTGTTTTCTGTGTGTTTGTTTTCACTTTTTTTGTTTTCTTTTGTGTTGTGTTTTAGTTGTTGCAGTTTTTGGTTTCATTGTTTTTGTTTCCTGTTTTAGGGGTGTTATGTTTTCATTGTCCTTGCTTTCGTTGCCTTTCTTCGTGTGAAATGTTTTCCTTTACGCTGTCTTCGTTTTCGCTTTTCGCTGCTTTCAATTTCCATATAATTTTTAGTTCACAATTTTATCTTAATTGATTAATTGTTTCCGATGTTGCCTGAAGTTCACATTATTGTCACATGTAAGGTGTCTTGATTGATAAAGGAAACATTTTTTAATGCGTCCTCTATTGGATCAGTTTCAATTTCAACGCTGGCATTCATTACTAAATAAAACGATTTTCGTATTAATGTCCCAATTTACATTTTTATTAAAAAAGAGTATTAAAACGGCTGTTTACTTTTTAATCTAAAAACCTAACTCAAATTCCACTTTTCCAGCAACCTCAAATTTTTGCAATTTAAAGCGCGGATTAAGTAATTAAATTTTCGAATCTTGGAACGTAAGTGAAGGTGGAAATTGCGTTTTAAACGTAAACCTCCCTTTCGTATTCCCCTTACCTTAGGTGGGTAGAGACTATTTGTTTCATTTGAGCTTTTCAATTTCAGTGAATGTGACAAACGGTTAACTTTTTACGGTTTAGGAATTTATATTGCCCATTATAATTACAAATTCCATCTGAAAGAAGCGACTGACTGCAAAACTGTCCAGAAATTATTAATGTACTCTTATTGTGTGGCATAATTACACTGGCTTTGTTTGAAAAACCTTTTAAAGGAATGAAGCTCTTTTATAAGAGTGAGTGTTTAAAAAGATTTGCTATATATTTATTTAGGTAATAGGGAACTGTTTGAAGCTGTTTTTCACACGTGTCCCTCGCTTTTTTCCTCGTTATAAACTTAGGGGGTTATTAAATATTCAAATTTTATTCTGGCTACTATATCGAACTTTGGTTTCTGCATCCGTGCATGACTCTTTCATATTGAAAAGAAGAAGGCAGGCTCATTAAACACTGAATGTACTAACAAACTAAAAACAAAACTTGTTTATGATGTAGAGTGTATTAACACAGACGGGTTGTTAACAATTTTTAATCACAACGTACTTTCATAAGTCTACTAATTACGACCCTACTATCAGATGATATCTTTTTAGACATATAACGAGTTTTCGGAGCCTTCCTGCTCTGCCTGCATAATTTACGCCATCATTAGCAGAACAAAACTAAGAATACAGTAAACACCTCTTAAGCTTCTTTCGCAGTTTAACTTTAACTCCACCTAATTTTACGCGTTGCGATTATTTAAACAATTTTATTATTGCAGGCTAAAGTGAAAGGAACTAAGCAGAACGGCCTGGTGGCGGAAATGCTAAAAGGAATGCGACCGACGGTAAGGGCCTTCACGTCCTCCCAACCGCTCAAACTGGACACGCTCCCCCTCTTGTACGACATAATCACTCCTCAATTTCGGCCCGTTAACATCCACTTGTTCACAAAGCAAGATAAGGATAATCTTTGCTCGATCGTCTCAACTATGGTTGACTATAATTTAAATTACATTCAGGAGAGATCCGCGGGAAGTTACGTGTACGTCATGGGTACGTGTTCTCTCCTCGATTAGTGTCCACTCAATTTGATTTTCAGAACCGAACATCGAGGATATGGTCAGTTTTAAGGACCTGAAGAAGCGGCGCTTGGTTCCGTATTCGATTAAGCAGCTGATTTCTCGCGAAATTGATCTCGAGAAGATGCGCCAGATTGAGAAGAATAAAGTTAGCGGGCCTGAAAGTGAGAACGGTCCCAAGGAAGTAGCTAAATCCGTGCCGAATCACTTGCAGAACTTGAAGCCGAAGATGGCAAAACCGAAGGGTAATGGGGTGAGTACCTTAGTTGCCGATCTGCAACTAAATGCATATACACAAAATATACAGTTATAGTGATTTAAGAACTGGGTAAAACAAGCTTTTCGGGTGCGACAAGCATCCCGGGATGGCCAACTGGGTGTTTCACATACTTGTTGACGTATGGATATAGAGAAACACGTACAAGCATCTGATTACTTCACCACTACCTTGTGAAGTAATTTGACTGCGTGGGTTCTATTATCATCAAGAATCTACCTCGGGGGTTTAGGGTTCATTTAGCACGTTATGTCCATACAGCATTCTGCAAAATCTGGTTTATTGGAGAGGTACGTCTTGAAGTCGCCTTCTCACATTTCCACGAGATGGCGTTTTGCGGCATGATGCGCCGCTCCTCTCGTTTTAAATGGCGTAGTTGATCCGCCCATGAAAAACTAGAACACGTGTTTGTGATGGGGAGTAACCCTCGACCGGAATGTTCACCTTTACCTGTGCCTTGCGAGCATTTTCCGCCTACTGCAAATTGTAACGGGACTCCCTTAATGCAGTTTATTTAATTCGATTTTCTTTTTCGATTTTGTATGTGGGTGAGTCGTTCCTAAATGCGGCCCTGACCGTTTAAATGCGTGTGAAAGATTAAAGCACCCGGGATGTCGTGGGAAAGGACGAGATAAGCTAGAATTACAGAGTGATTTTGCAAAGATCACATCCGTCGTTATCAAGTTGGCTGCGTAGCGTGGGTTTTGCTATTTTTGCGAGAACTGGGTCCACATCGAGTCGATTTATTTGTGTCGAGAAATCTGGTTGGATACAAAAAATGAGTGGTATCGGTGGAAAAGGTGTTACGTCACGAGATGGGTGTCAATAAAAAAAAGTAAGGTAGTGAGGAGAATTCAGAATATTTAGATTAAGCCGTGTCGTGAGCCGTTGGAAAATTCCAGGCCGCGCGCGATCAGCGCTTGTGATTTCCAAGGATGTGACTACGATAAATGCGAACAGTATGTGTAAAGCCAACGCGTGAATCAAAGTTTGGTAACCTTCAATTTGAAAAGATAACTGGGATAACTATTACGATAAATGCGAACAAAAGTGTACATTTTAAACGCGCGAAAAAAACCATCGTAATATTTTAAAGGCGAATGGACTAATAATAATACTACATGACGTAATTTTTCGGCTGTCTGCAGTGAGGCAATGTTTTGACATTGACACTTAGCATCGGATTGGTTAAATTTTTTAGGTATCGTCATTTCGACTTCCATTCAAAGCAGCTGACGGAACCTAGGACTTTTCATGGACCGCCCTTTCAACCATTTGGACCAACAAGGTAAAACTAGAGCATTACAGATTACATTTTTAAAAATTTTGCATATGAATAATATTGCATGTAAACCGTTTTGTATACGTAGTAGGCGCTATTGAGTTATTAAAATGGACGCATCTAGAACGCATGGATTGTTACCATGGCAGCGGACCTCATTGGCGTAGTGGTTCCTTTTTTCAAAACCGAAAATTGCGTTAGAAACAAAAATGCTGCTGTGCCATTGGTTAAAATAAGACGCCAGACTCAGCAGTTTCGTTGGTTCCGTTTTTAGTTTCATGTAAATAGCTGAGCGCACGGCTAGCCGGGGAGACGTTTATTCTTTGTGAAGGTAGTCGCGAATTTAATAGTAGTAGTAGTAGTTTCCAATGGGAAAAAAACAATTAAAGCACATGGTTCCCATAATAAAATAAAATGGAGGTATGCCTTGCGCCGACGCCTACGTTTATCGAGCATAGTAGTTCATTTGTAGATTCTCACTTATATCACGGGTATGAAGAAATTAACCTAGATCTTTGACATGGTGAAGATGGTGATAGTTGAATCTTTGAAGGAGTTACCAAGGATGTGCACGTAAGTACAAGAATTATTAAAGAAACATTTTATATAATTAATTCAAACTTAATATAATATTGTAACCAGTTAGATGTAAAAACGTGATCTATCTTATTTTATGAACCTTGTCAAATTCATAGGATTCCTAAAAACGTATTATAAGATTTTGATTTTTTGATACATAAAAAATAATCACCTCAAAACATTTTTAATTAGCTATTATGATACAGTACTTCGAGTTGAACGACCCCAGATCTCACCATTAGTGTACTGTATAATAAGGTTGCCATATGTTTAATTTCGGTATGAGGTCGAGAAGATTTGGGATAGAATGTAAGGTGGCAGACCGTCACTTTTGCCAAATTGAAGCCTGGAAATCTTACATCCCAACACTAAACAACAGTAAGTCATCCACACACCTTAGCATCGAAGTTTTGGAGGGTGCGCAGTGTCAAATGCGTGTGAAGGTTTCAGGCGCCCAGAAGACGTGGGAGGCCGAAATTAACTAGATCAGGATCACATGCGTCGTTATCAGGCTTATCTAGGCAGCGGGTTTTTTTCCTGAATTGCTGCGAATTTGGTCAAGGTGGGGGACTTATATGTACCAAGGAATCTCATTGGCTAGAAAAATAGTCGAGCCATCCACAAATTGTATTAAGTCACGGGACAATTCACCTCGGACCGCGAGAGACATTTTAGGGCGAAGTTGTCAGCGAAATTCAATCGGTCCCCCGCAGATAACCGTGGGTGCTGTTTTTTATTTTGTGTTAGAAACGCGAAAGGATTCAAGTTAGCCAGCACAAGTTGCAAATGAAAGATTCTAGTGATCTTCACTTAAAAGTGAACCTGCGTAGCTTGCCGATCTGCGTAGCTCAGATAAGCTTACGTTAGTAGCTCTAACTTTGGCTACAAGGGTCCTGGGTTCGAATCCCACGTTAGGCATTGCTGTTTGTGATTGTATAGTGTGTTGAGTGGGAAGAGTAGCAAATTGCTAACACTCCGCCCACTATAAAATAAAGGCAATAAAAAAATAAAAAATAAAAAAGGGATATGTTTCGGTTTAGAAATCATCACCACAAATACGAACAATAGTGAACATTTTAATCCATAAAGATAATAACGGTCTGACCTTAAATATAGTTTACTTGCGGAATTGGAAATTATTACGATAAATCGAACAATCGCTCGAGAATGAATCATCTTAATATTGTAAAGGTGAATGTACTATAATAAAATAAAACTAAATGACGTAATTCGTTTCCCGTCTGGAGTAGTCGTTTTGGACGCAGATAACATTGACGCTTACCGTCGGATTACGTAATTTTGAATAATCAAAGAAGCCATTCATTTACGAGACCCATGATCTTGCATTGGCCGTCTTCTTTCAACCCTTTGAACCCACAAAGTAGTCAGTACTTCGAGCTGCACAACCCAGGGACATAACCGTTAGTCTACCCAGTACCCACAGTAAATAAGCTAACCGTATTTTGTATTTCTATATTCAAAATAAACCCATTTGTTGCAAAGTTAGTTTTCTGTCTGTTCAATAGAATGGAAAACTTTTAAAGAGTCTGTTATCACATTTCAACCGGCTTGGAAAAAACATGTGTATGTATGAACCTATCTAGAAGTTATCATTTTACATTGAATAATGAATAATGAAAATTCTCCTTAGCTCCAAATTATGTTATTTTTAAGATTGTAAAATCCTAGAGTAGTACCATCCACCGCCTTCATTTTTTGTGACGTCACAAGTGGTCACTTGTGGCTCCATCTAGTGACGTTTGTTGGAATTACAAGAGCCGATAGTATAGTTTTCTGTAATTTTCAATGTGGGATCATGTAGTGGCGGTTGTGGGAACTACAAAAGTTGCGAAATTAAAAGAGGAACTTGCACGAGACATACACAGAGTAGTAGGTTACTAAATGGAATATAAAAAAAACCGTTACAAAGTCAGAAAATAAGCATTTGTAATATGTTGACTGGATCGTGAACTTTGTCATATAATGTTGGATTCTGGATTTCTAAATCTGACAACTTCGTGGAAGAAAAAGAAATATAATTGACTGGATAAATAAGCGCCAAAAAGTGGCAAGGGCTTGTCTTGATTATGCCAAGAAGGTAGAGGATATGATGATAATGATAGTGATGACGAAAATAGCGACTGTGATGGCAATGAAGATCTGAAAGGTAATAAAACCTAAAATTGTATGTATATATTCCTCAGCTGTGTATTTAACACATGTAAGAATTATCGGGCGCTAAGTGTCCCCCCCCTCCCAGCACCGCTTCGACTGTTTTTACTATCTCGTTCCTTAGCAATTTTTTATTAGTGATTATGGTATTGTGTTCAATTTTTGTGGAAATGCACTAAAAATATATTGACGTAACTTAAAACGTATATTCTTTCCCTGTTTTTGTAATTCATTCATAAAATCATTCGGTTGAGTATAAACTTTTAGGACTAGTCATTTTGCTCCGATAGTAGGCGAAGTTCGTTTTTGTGCGTCTCTCGCAATCCCCCTGATTGCTAAAAATAAATTGCGCCCATTATTTTGTAATTAAATCCATATATTAGAAGGGTATATTCTTTTCATATTGAAATGACGCCATTACTTAACAGAATGTGGCCTCCGTTATAGCCAATAGTTGGATAAGGGCCTATGCGGTAGTATTAAGGGAATTTTTGCTAAAGTCTTTGTTAATGTTCAATTTATCATTTACATTGACGTACGAATTTTATTGATAGACTTATCCCTCGTTTGCGGTTTATTTGTGTTCTTAAAAGGTTTTTTGTTTTGCCAAGTTCGTAGGATACTGCGGCTTATGATTTATGTTTTTCTCTCTTTTGTCAAAGAAAAGTCCAGTTAAGGCTTTGGAATATATTACGTAAGGGTCATCACATTATGCATTCATTTTTCAATTTTACTGCATTGTTCGGCCAACATCCATTGTTGTTATTGGAAAGTAATGATCTTTGCTACAAAATACATTTTTCGAGATTTTCAGATTTCAAAATGAATCCAACATTGTTTCACGTGTACCTGTTTGGAAGTAGGTATCTAATCTTAAAGGGGGTAGATATACTATGCAAATACCACCCATATCAATATGTCATAAGTGAATACGTTACAAAGA